CAGTATTGTTGCTCCCGCCCTGCCCCCACCTCCGTTCCCTTCTCTGGCCACGCTCCAGCCCCTCAGGGTCTGTCTTTCCATGAGGGGCCCAAAACTGACCCCAGGATTCAAGATGCAGCCTCAGATCAACCCTCTCACCCAACTCGGTGTCACTCAAACTTCCAGAGGGTCCGCTCGATCCCCTTGTCCGGGCTATCGGCACAGACACGGAGCAGAACCAGCCCCGATGCCGACCCCTTGCGCTCAGCCCGCTGTCACGACCGGTGCAACGCCTGGACGGGTCGGCATGGCCGTGCCGTACCCCCTGCCGCCCGTGTCCAGCTGCTGTGGGCACAGCAAGGAGTTGGCGTAACCCGCTTTGCCCAGGGCCGTTAATGCTCTTCATTAGCGAGCGATCTCTGTGGCTAATGAGCCGTCTCCCGAGGGCCGGCGTGTTAACGAAGCGCGGGTCGGGGCTCTGTCACCAAGGTTTGCGTCGCAGGTTGCTTTCAGCCTCGGCTGGGCAAGAAAAACACGGTGATTAGGGCTGTCGCGCGCGGCCTGGCGGGAGATTTCGGGCTGGTTGAGTCCGCAGCTCAACCTAAATCAACCTAAATCAGCCTAAAACCCAAACCAGGAGGGGAGCGCTCCGGCTCCTCTGCCCTCTCTTGTGCACAGCTGGTTTTAGGTGTCGCTTTACCGGCCAGATGTGCCCTGGGGCCGGGTGCAGCTGCTGGTTCCTAGAGGATTTGTGGGAGTGGGGGCGTGGTGGGGGCTTGCGAATCCCCGTGGGAAAGCAGCTGTGGCACGGGTCAGCTCTGGTGAGGGAGATCCCACCCCCACGGGATGCGCTTCCCTGGGGCTCCCCTGCTCTCAGAACGTGGGGTCGGGGTACAGACGGCCCGTGGCGCAGGGAGGGGCTGGAGAGCAGCTCCCCCCAGGCTCTCCCACCCTTCCAGGTGCAGATCCTGGGACAGACCTGCGAGGGACGGGGATGCTGGGCTTGATGCAGGTGCTGCACTTCGTCGTGGATGCGCAGACGCTGCCTCTGGCCCGGGAGATTTTCAAGCTGTCCCAGCACGAAACCCAGGCACGTCCTTCCACCTTCCCCGCTGCCTGCGGCGGTGTCTGCCCGTTTATCCCTAACACTCCAGGAAAGGGAAGGACAAAACCCTTCTCTCCAGTGTAAGGGCTTGATCTTTTTAGCTGCTTAATCCCCCGCCTGCTGCTGGGGGCAGGGGGGGTCAGGTGGTCCCCAAATTGCTGAGAAGCCCCGCTCAAAGGCTGATGCCAAACTCCAGGGCTCCCAGCTTTATGCTGGGAAGATGTTGGTGTCCTGGTGGGGATTAGCTCCTGGAATCCTGGGTTGGAGCTGACCTTGTGCAGGTTCAAAGGGCTGGAGGAGTTGGCAGTGCGGCGTGGGAGTGGGAGCGAGTGGAGCCCGTCTCCCCAAACACAGAGTTCTGGGCCCGGTGTGGTTGGGTTTAAGCCCAGGTACAAGTGGCTTTGGCCCACAGCACCCTCTACGCCTGT